AATTTTGTTTTGAAACTTTTTGAATTTTTTAAAATTTTGAAGCAAATTTATATTTGAAAAAATTTTATATTCATAAAATACACTCGAAATAACTTATTGCTTTTTTATTTTAAGTCATTAAAAATTTTATTTAATTCTAACATAAATGTTTTTATTTCAATTTTTAAAATAAATTTTTATTATTTTGACATTTTTGATATAAAAGAACGTTTGAAATTTTTAAATTTTACTTTCTTCTCCTCTACTTAAAATCATTATAAATTTTATTTGAGGAGTATTTTAAATTTAGGAAAGCTGTAAAAAAATGTAATGATAGGTTTTTTTGAATCTAAAAAATTATCTAAATTAATATTTGGACTTTTTCTTTTATACATAAATTTTGTATTTTTATTTTTTTTCAGATAAAAAAAATGTATCTAAAAATCTAACTTTAATAGGTTTTTCGACTTATAAAATTATTTTAATTTTTATTTTAAGGTAATTTTAACTTTAAAGAAAGTCAAAAAATTTTATTGATTTAAGAAGTTTTTGGAGTGAAATTTTTTTTATGGTTTTAGAATTTTTTGATTTAAATTTTAGATGATTTGGATTCAATTTTCAGGTGTTTTTTTAGATTGAAAAAATTATTCGAATCTAAAAAGTCACTTAAAAAGGAATTTTTTTCCCTCAAAAAAACGCTCGAAAAATTAAATTCAATTGTTCTTCTAGCTGAGGAATAGTAAATGTACATTATTTCTATAAGGAAATTGGGAATGACGAGAGCATCCCTTTCCTCCTCGTCCTCTTCTTCCTTCTCGTAAAAATTAAGGAACAAACTTCTGAAAATTTTAATTGTAGAACATGTAAAAACTGGAACGGGGGATGCTAAACATCCGTCTACGTCATTGGGCTTTCAAGTAGAGTAAAATGCGCAGTGGTTTTGAGCATGTATGGCTCGGCGCCAGATGCGAGAAGGGATTGATGGTTTCCAGATATTTTCTCTATATCTGACGGACATTCATGGATATTTGTGTAAGTACATCCGTTACTAATTAACTAATATAAGTAGAGTATCATACAGGTGTTAGCGTGGAGGGTTGTCCCCCCACGTAAAACGTGGGAGTTGGAAAAAAAATTCGGTTCGTCAGACACACGGTCGAGTCCATATCTTAATCAATAGACGTTGTTGGCTTGCGTTATTGCTGCACATGTCACCCATTCTATAACGGTTCTTGGAGTATAAGCCATACTCTACAATCCATATCAGCTATTGTAAATGGATAATGAGTCACCCTATCAATTTCTGCTGCTTCTACAGTAACATATGTGCCCTATTGGATATCACAGGTTAGTCTACGATAATTTAATTTAATCCAGTTTCTTGTACTTGATACTGGACCCCCCCTCTGTAATTCTATAGTGGTGATATCAATGTAGCTTCCTGACCTATTTTCCTTATTACTGATACTGTAAATATGGCACAGTGGGAAAGTTTTGTTTGCTGTAGTAGTAGTAGTAGTAGTATTAGGTTAATGGTGTTGTTAGATTTAATTGAATTAAATGTTGATTACGGGGCGCGATTTTCTCGTGTTAATGGAGTTTAAAACGCGAGGAAACGTGAGAAATTTCTACTGTTATCTACGAATCAATGTTGGCATTGATTAGTTGCCCTGGACACAACAGTTCGACCTTGACAAGTGACTTATTCTCTTTGGATGGTTGGATTGGAGTGGTTCGTGATCGTTCGATTTATCGCAGATTATTGGCTAGACAGATAACGTAACCTACGCTTATTACTATAGTAGCATCACGTTACACCACAAGATAATAAGCAATTTATTTATATTTTTTAAATAAAAGAATCGTCTTATAATGGCGTACATCCCTCGATGGATTCCTCCTCATCATCATCATCACTTTAAAGTTGAAAATTTTGATTTTATATTTAAAATTACAAATAAATCTTTGCATTTATTAAATTTTTATTATTTTCTATACTTTTATAATGTATTTTTGGTGTTTTTTTTTACGATTGTTAAAGGAGGTTCTGAGAGTGGAAAGCTGTTGTTTATTTTTAAATACGCATTGATGAAGGATGCTAATTTTATTTATTAAATTATTTAAATTCGTAACTGTTTCATTCTAATTGGATTTTCTTAAAGAAGAGAGGACATTTTTATACTATACTATATATATAAGCCTAAATTATTAACAATTTATAGCAGTAACGTTAGTAAAATTATTACATATGCACCATGCGTGACACTTCTCAGATTGTTCTTGATGTATTTCGAAGTATTCCAGGGGCTGGGATTTCTATTATCCCCCTTCTAGAACGTGCTAAATTATAAATTATAAACTTATCTATGAAAATGGGGCAAAGGTAAGTGTTTCAGAAAACGGGATAACGCGAAGAACGTAAGAAAAATCACACATAAAGGTCAATTATTATCCTTCTGCAGATAGACCTATTGGAGTAGTGCCAAGTCAACGCTGCAGAATCGACTGTAGTTAATAATCATGCGGTCGAGATCGAGTTTTAAGACCTTACAAGCATCCTTATATAATGTAAGACAGGGGGAGAGAGCGAAAGAACACGTGAAAGGAATTCAAGGTCGAGAAGGAATTTTGTATTTTTTTCCCCTGTTTTTTTTTTAATAATTCAAAAAACAAAACTCTTTTGTGTGTTTTAAAGTGAAGTTTGTTAAGTAAAATTTTTTTTTCATTATAAAAAAAAAGTTGAAGTAATACGTGATATTTATTTTTTAAATAAATTAT